TTACCTCTGGTTAGCTTGGAGCCAATATGAGGTTCTCCTTCACAATACACAGACCATCCTGGGAGATCCAGGGCTGTGAGTCGATTTCAAGCCAGGGGCTCTTCCATCTTGACTTGAAATCGAATCACATCTCCCGGGTCTCTGAGGATGACTGAAAACATACGAGTGATCGAAAAAATTGGACGACCATAAGAAAGATTTAAGACAGAAACTAGCCACCGGTTCTACGTCTTCAATAAAAATAACAGTTAACTCCGAAATGCACGACAACAGCAAATGCACGTGACGCGTTATGTCCAAAGTCCAGTTCTTAGTACTGCTAAAATCGGGCTGGCGAGAAACAGTCGCGTTGGAGAATTTTCTCATAATTCTAATTGCAATGATGACAATGTGATTATTATAAAAGTATAGAAAGTAATAATAATAGTTATCATAATAATTATTTAATAATACTGATAATGACAGTTATATCTAAATCTAGCGCTTAAAATCGGTCAGCGCTTAATTATATGCAAGTTTTTAAAAAGAAGCTCACCGAACACTCCCGATAAAAAAAAATCGGAGAAAAAGACAAGTACTGATAATGATTTTCAGAATGATATTAACAGTTATGATATTAAAATAGAAAATGAAAAAATTATATTACCCTTTATTTGATAGGTGCTGAGCTTCACGTTACAGTAAAGCTTCACGAGAGACACTTGCTAGCGTGCTCTTCATTCAGAAATCCAGAAAATGTTAAACATATCAGTTGGTACCGCTGCTCTAGCCATGATTGCGAACATGACTGGGACAGGTTCCTAATAGCGCATGTTCAAAATATGACAGAGACAATTTCCAATGACCCAAATTTTGAGGTTTACACCAACGGCACCTTAGTTATCAAGAAGGTACTACCTGAGGATGATGGAAAAATGTTTATCTGCGTTGCCAAAGAGAGGCACATAGGGAGAAAAATGTCCAGGACGATCCTCCATGTAGACGAAGGTGATGTTTATACAAGTGTTATATAATGATGATAATAGTAATAATAATGATAATAGTATTCATAATAATAACAATGGGAATTTAGCAGTGAATAATCCTAGTGGTGACTTTTATTGGTCATGGTTTTCAGTGAAACAGGACATTTGGGTTTTTTTTTTGTTTTCATCTAAACCTACTGCTGTTTCAGAGAAAAGCCACACACTTACTCAGACGATTCCAATTTTTTTCCTCTGTATCTAGGCCAGCCGGTGAGGACAACTACAGGATTAGGTAGGTTCTCCCGCTCTTTAACCTTTTCAGATGACCCAAATGTTGTGACCGGGAACTACCTTGGCATATAATACAAGTTTTTTTACCTCTTTAATTAAGATATAAAGAGCTAGGCAAAGTATAGAAGTTATTCACTTTGCCGCTCTGTTTCTACTCTTAGATATCCAAACTCTATCATCTTCACCAACATCAGGTGAGTACAATGTGTTCTTTTTCAGTTTTGGAGAAAATTTTAACTGACTTTGTCCAAACTTTCATTGGACTGCATTGGATTTTATCAATCCTATCTTTCACAATTAAGTAGCTATTTACTTCGCTGCTCTGTTTCTAGCCTTAGATATCCAAACTCCATCATCTTCGCTAACATCAGGTACATACAATGTGTTCTTTTTCAATTCTCTAAATTTCAGTTTGGAGAAACGTTTAATTGAGTATGTCCAAACTTTTCATGGACTGCATTGATTTTTATCAATACTTTCTTCCACAATTAAGAAGTTATTTACCTTGCCACTCTGTTTCTACCCTTAGATATCCAAACTCCATCATCTCCACCAACATCAGGTAAGTATAATATGTTCTTTTTCAATTCTCTCAGTGTCAGTTTTGGAGAAAATTTTAACTGAGTGTGTCCAAACTTTTATAAGACTGCATTGAATTTCATCAATCCCTTTTTTTACAGTTACGAAGTTATTTACTTTGCCACTCTATTACTACCTTTAGATATCCCAACTCTATCATCTTCACTAACACCAGGTGAGTACAGTATGTTTTTTTTTTCAATTTTCTCAATGTCAGTTTTAGAGCAAATTTTAACTGTGTCTAAAATTACATAGGATTGCATTGAAATATCTATTACTGGTATTCGTTTATCATCGAACTCAACTCTAGCATGTCTCAAAGCCTCACTCGTGGAATTGAATGTGACCTGATTCCCACCGCTTCTCTCTTCACTTCCCTCCATTTCAGTACACCTCCTCATCCATATTCCTACTTACATCTTATCCCTCTAATGAAAAAAATAAATTATGGTCGATCCTGTGTCGAGCGGTCACCCACGAGGAATGGCAGCGTGACCGCTTGATATAGGTGAACCGCTATGCAGGTTCCACAGAATAGGGTATTATGAAAAACGATAAAAAGATGCCATTTTATGCCACGATTGACCACTTTATGCACAGAAACTACCTCATAAATATAATTGGTTTTATCTGGGTGATTCCACTTTAAGTCACTGTTCAATACAGGTGGAAGACAATACAAAAAGGTCGTTGGGACACAGTTAAGAATAGCCACGACTGCTTAATAGAGCTGAACGCTCTGTAGAGGTGAAAATTACAATAATGAAGGGGTAACGATTTCGGGACTTTGACAACTTACCACTTTATGCAGGGTGATAAGGAGAATGAAGCCCAGTTTAAAGAGAGATTGGGTCTGAAAAATATTTGACGCTAAATAAATGAAGAAACGGAGAAATAGAACCTGTGATAAGCGGTCACCCACAGGGAATGGTAATGTGACCACTGCATACGAGTTCCACAGAATAAGATAATATATAGATTTAGCTAAGCCTAAAGGTGTAGCTCTTGTTAGTTTATTTTCCAGCCCTTCATTATACTGAATAAAAACTGTAATAAAAGTCTTCAGCACCAGCTGTGGAAGATTTTCCTCCAGGGAACCAGTTCAGGGGTGGGGAGGTGGAAGAATTGACAAAGTATGGAACCTAGGGACGATGTTCTCACAACTTACAATGCGATCATCATGCATGTTAGTCAGCGGTATCTTCAAACAGCTTAGGACCTTCGTCGTAGTTCCTAATGTTTTGAGCAAATTTTCGGAGACAGGGAATGTTTTCTTTTTCAGATGAAGTGTATGATGTCAGCATCAGTTAAAATTATATTCTACTGAGCGTGACTTCTAATTTCGGATTGAGAAATTGCGCCCAAATTGAAAGAAATGACGGTAAACTACTTTGCGTTAAGACATCACTCAGTCTGGTCGATTGAAGTGTATACACTTGAGCACAGTGAGACATTAAAACAATACGCCAGAATCGTAGGAGTTTCTCTTATATCTTCTTTTGAAGTTTCCCACTGTTTCTCCTTAACGTTTCAACCTTCTCTGTTTAGCGTAGAAAATTAAAAAGAAAAGTAATTTTGAACTCGTGCTTGGACCTTTAATATTTTTTCAACTTTTTCGCTTTCGGTTATTCTTGTTCTTTCGGTTATTCTTGTTCATGGTTGTCCTCTGGCTGGAAATACACGACGTCTTTTTGAGTTTTTTTCTGTTATTTAATTCGATAACCTCTGCTGTAACACCATAGAATGTGGGTCTCTGTAAGAAAACTTGAGATAATACCAGGATTTCATTTTTACATCACAGAAATCAATTCCAAATATCAATCAAGTTTTCTCTTTAGTTCAAAAGCTGAATTGGTGTTTTTATTGGCTATATTAAATATGTTGAAAAGTTTTAGAATGCTTTTTCTCATGTTTGCAAATAATTGAATTTACTAGAAGGTAGAGTTGTTGCAACATATTGACAAGAAACGCAACAATAAATTTTATTGATAAGTAAAAAGTTTTCATTCGACTATCTACCGGCAAGTCTTTGTGTTATACATTTTCCACAACTTATAAACACTGTTACAAAATAAATAATTCAGGGAAATGGAAAACTTTTGGCGTATACACCATGTGGGAAATACCATGTCCATTATAAGCTGTCAGGATTGAGAAGGGCGTCTGTGAAAATAGGTTCTCTTGTCTGTTTCATTGATTTGCTAATCGTTCCTGTTGGCAATGCTTTGATGAAGTTGGGTTGTCAGGGCAAAAAAACGGAGGATTTAAGTAGGCAGTGACTTTTTTCAAACTTGGAAACTATCACCGTGAAAGCCATACTTGTGCCTGGTAACTCATTCCTACTCTGGTAAACTAGTTTTAAGAAGGATACAATTTTTATTTCATAAATTTGATGCATAGGCTGTGCACAAAACTTAAATTTGATTAAACTTTTAGAGCTAATACCAGTCCCTTCACATCATGAAATGTTAGGAGGATCAGAGGAAAATATAACGTGCCATACATCTGAAAAATTTCATGAAATTGTTTTAATTACATGAACATTAACTGATATTAGGAGATCTAACAATATTCAAAAGAATATAAAATTTGGTTGAAAAATTAGAATTCAGCATAGGCCGGATAAACAAGATTCTAAAAAGAAAAGAAATGTGTATTAATGAGAAAGTTAAGCAAACTTTTTAAAAACATTTACCTGTACCTGGAAGGCACGTAGTAAAGTCTTTTGAAGTAGTCATAATCCCGATTTCATATGTTGAAAACACATGCACATGCAGATTTCCTAAAAACCTGGAAATTTAGCCTGTGATGAGTTCGAAATTTTGATGTGTTCCTCAAAAGGAGAAAAAATAAATTTGAAGTTTCTATTTATCCAGTATAGGTTAGTGGGATAAAATTGAGTCAAACATTGAGGTTATACAGCGACAGGTTCAAGAAATTTCCACAACTAATTTTTAAAGCTAGACCACCAGGAACAATCACCTTCACGCACAAATTAGACCAGTTTGTACTGATGATGCTCAAAAGAACTATCTGTGATAAGGGGGAAGGCTTTCCTTTCTTTATTTAAAGAAATACTGGGGTTATCATCTTTCCACAAGCTCAGTGGAAAGTGAGAGTGAATGAGACTGATAGCGACTATGTTATTTGAATAAATATCCAGAGGAGGATAGAAAGTAAGATATGGTGTGCACAACTCTCTTATTTTAATTTTTTAATTAATTAAAGGCAGTTATATCATTGCTTTGTGCATTACGTGGACGCCAATTAATTTAACTTTCATGCGTCAAAATACGAAAAATATTCTCTTATCTATGTGCCCTAAACATTTTAGAGCAGGAGGCAGGCCAAAGTAAAAACATAAGTTGAAATGGCAGGGCCTCATTAATTGCAGTCCCGATTGAAGGAAGATTCTTGTTTTTCCAGATTCCCACATATCTTGTGACCAATTCCCTATATCGATGTTAAGTCATTCTAAATATCACAAATCAATCATGCCACCACTTCAGTGTGATTGATTTGATGATGTCTACTTTTTCTTATGGAAATTTATTTTTAGTATCTATCTTTTAGCAGCTGACATCTGAGAAGAATCAAGCCCACACTAGGAATTTGACACATTGCAGGCAAACCCTATTACTAATTAAATTTTATTTGATCGAAAACATGAGGGGCAATACAGGAAATTAGCTAGCACAATTCAAGTTTCCCTTCTTAAGTATTCCGTGATGTTTTTTCTTTCATATGGTAAGGTTTACAGTTTCCCTCATTTCACTGTCTTCTGTTCATTTTTTGTTTGCTTTCCTGACAAGTTTAGCTATTGTTGACAACAAATGCGAGGAGCATATAAAATGTGTACAGTTATTAACACTTTAATCTCTGAGAGTGACTAGCATCTAATTTCTCCTTTCAGTATCACCCCTGAATCAAACATTAAGGTCATGAGAATAAAGGAAATGATTACCAACTGAAGAACCTCTTGATTGTTAAACAAATTCTTTTTTCCAGCACACTAGGAAATGTACACAGAACGGTATGGAGAATATGCATATTGATGTTAGGATATAAAGGGTTAAAGACATCATGTAATCAGTTGTATATATGCAGGGTATTGCTTGAATATATGATTCCGATAAGCGCAATTGCCTAGTAAAGATCATTCCATGGTCTTCTACTCTTCCACCTCAGAGGGTGCCTTGTGTGCATAAAAATTAAAGTTCAATACCTTTAGTAGCTTTTCGGGCTACAAAAATCAACAAAGAACAACAGCCAGACCTAAAAATGTTTTTAAAGACACCTTTACAATAGTGGGTACACACAACTGACATGTATAAGTGAAGCATGTCAAGCACTAAGGTATGATTGTCATTTTGATTTTATTACTTGCAGACAGCTTATTTCTATGAGCTTTAAAAACTTCTGAATCCCCGCTTTCAAAGAAAGCATTTCTCATGAAAATTTAAACATTGTAGGTATAACCTACCAACAACAGCTTTTTCCATTATAAGTGTTTCACAACATCAGATTCTCATCACATTTTTTTGTTACATTTGAAAGCATAAGAATATTTTAATCATTACAATATTATGAAATACCCCACATTAAGGACGCATATGGTAGTTATATGTACCAGAAAGACAGCGAATGAATATAACATCATACTCCAGTAATGTGTTCTTATGTAGAATAAAGTTTAAAACTCATTGAAATTAAGTTGACTTAATGACTCAGATTTTAGTTAAAGAAATGCGTAATATCTCTTTACAACGAAGAAAAGGAAATTCCATTTATGAATTTTAACACAGGAAATGCCAAAAACTTAAAGATAGAATTTAAAAAACTACTAAAATATGACATATCTGTTTACTGAGGTTTTAATCATTAGCTGGCAAACAGAGATATAAGAGAGGCTTTGTGACAAAAAACCAGGGCAATAAAATTTACGATTCAGGAAAAGCATATGACATATGACATTAACTAGTTTACTGATGTTCTCACCTGAACTCAATCTGGAAAGAGAGCTCTGTTACACTTCTGTTTTATCTTGAATTAAAACATAAACTTTAATTATTTGCAGGCAGGTTAAAGAGGAAATTAAAGGAAAGGGCCATGGGAAAGGCCATTACTTCGTTCAAAGAGTAAAACAACACATCTTCGACAAAGCAAGATTTTTTAAATGACTAGAGTATATCCTGCGATAGTTAACTGAAGAGAGCAAAAAGTAGAAACTTGCCCTCGTCGTTCGCCATCATTTGAAAACTTTCTAGGCAAAAAAAATTCGTTAGATAACTTCTTTTCCCTTCACACCACGACTGTTTTAAACATTCCAAACGATAGCAAAAGAAATAACTTGAAGGATACAAACATTATGAAATGTTATTCGAGCGATGAGGTTTTTTAGGCAATGAATGCCGAAACGTGATCAGTTCGGCGAGGTGAAAACTAAAGCTAGCGTCAAACGACTATTGGTAAAAAAAAAGGTTGAGTTTTTCTGGGCCTTAACGTAAGAGAAAACCCAGATTAAACACGACTTACCTCCTCCTCTTTCTTGGATGCTTTGTGGTTCGCTTCTCTGTGTTGATGACCTCTTTTCAGTCTGTTTTCAGGAGCGTCTATGTATTTCCTTCTCGCGTTGCTCTTAGCTAGATATTCGCCTTTTAACTTCATGCCCTTTCTTGTTCTCTTTCGCGTTCCTCTCGCCGTATTCTGCCCATTTTGGCGTCCGTACTCAATTTCTTGCGCGATTTTCTCGACTCGCTTTACGCCGTTTACTTGTTAGTTTCTTTGGTCGCTCTGTCTTTCTATCCAGGAACTCGAATTAAAACAATTTTCTCCGATTGACAAAGCTTTAGTTCTGCCGATATGGTTGTCTTGCGAGATGATTAGAAATTGTTAAATACTAAGCATGGCTGTTCATCTACAATCTCACCTGTT